CGTAGTATTGTATACGTGAATACTATTCAATTCGATATCTACATACTACACTGGTACACTCTTTTCAATTATACATCCACTGAAGTTCACTGCAAAATCATATTTAAATCAAGGCTGAATTTTCATATTATTTAGCTAGTGTAGTTTTAAAATTTCAATTTTATCTATAGACTCTTACTAGTTATAAAATTATTTCAACAAGTTTCAAAAAATATATAACTAAATAGTAAACAATTAGRTAATCAAGTTATTTTTAAAGAAGTTTATTTATTTATGTTATGCTGATTAAATTTTCGTAGACTCAAGAGTAAATAAAATGAAACTTATGTTACACCTGCATTGAGATTTTAATTTAAGATGCCACCTGAAGCATTAAGAAATGGCCTTTGATGACGGTAAATGCTTTTTTTCAGACCAAAGTAATAGTCATAATTGATAAATACATTAATTTCWCGTAGGTGACAATACAAAGCCTTATCATCATAAGGTTAAAAAATGTATATAGCTTCGCTCGAAATAATTGTATTATTTTACCTCTCAGTATGTAAATTAAGTGCATAAATAGTTTGTACTTGTTGTTTTAGATATATTTTTAAAGACATTTTTCTATAAAAAAAATCATGGAAATTGTAGGCCAATTCGAATTAACTTCGAAAACTGAAAAAATGTATCACATATTATTATTTATAAGATAATAAGCGTCTGATGGATGTTTTTTAAATGGATAAAATTAATACATATAGTAATTATCAAAGTCACCAATTTAACATAGGTACATTCATGACATTTGGAAAAAATAGACAAATCAACAGTGAAAACCTATGGCATAGGTTATTACATATTATATATTTCGTCTCTCAAATTTTATTAACAACTACCTATACGCCTACATATTCTAGAATTGCATGTTGATTTGACATAAAATGTTAAAAACGTGTTCAATTGTACATGGGCAAGAAATATTTTCATAAAGATGTTTGATTGAATATTTGAATAAATCAAATAATGTTTATTGTAATTTGTAATAGGTATAGGTACTAGGTACACGTAACTAATAGACGTCAAAAATGCGGGGATTGGTATATTTCATAAAATATAGATACAATTTTTTACTTAATCAATATAAAGTTATAGRAATTGACAGTTGTATCCATACTATTCTCAAAATTGTATTGTWCAATGAAATCAGTAATTTGAAGAAAAATAATATCACCTAATCCTTGTACTAAACTTTGTATACMTAGGTCATATATTTCAGCATTTATATTTGTTTAAGTCTAATTCTATCGTTCTTAAACAATTTTATTTTAAATATTACCTCTTATTAACATATATTTTGTTTGGATAAATTATGCGAGTTATTAACATTATTAAATAAGTCTAAATTAGTTATTATATACTTCATATGCTATGGAATTATTATTGTTTATATTATACGTGTAATACTTGAGTTGATTTTCTTTATTTTATATATTTTATTGTATTATTTAAGTAAATAATATGAAGTAATATTTACASACATTGATATATCTAAATAAGTTTTTATGTTTTATGTGTGTTTCAGAAAGTACCTATCATTATCAACTCTTAAATCCTAAACAGCAAAGAGATAAGAATAAAAAATGAATAAATATCTGTTTGGGGTCGAGGTAAGTTACATCTCAAATTGTTAAAAATTTAAGTTCATACATTATAAATGTATAACGTATTACATATTTATTCCTATATTAATATATTATACGTACATACCTATAATTTTGTTTAAAATATAAACAAAAACTTTTTCTTATAAATAGTAATATTAGTAAATATATACCTATTAATTATTATACCTATTATATAATCTATYGACCATCATTAATTTCGCTATATATTATTGTGTATCTCGTATACCTCAATGTATAAATTATAATTATTATTCGTGGTTAAAAATCCTCATGGGAGCAGCCGGTATTAATACCTACTATCGGTTATAGTGTCAATTTAATATTAAACATTTAACTACACAGGACTATTATATAAATTTATACAGAGTGATCCGTTTAACGCTAGTATTATTTCAAAAAGATAAACTGATGCACTTCTAATATTTTAACTGTATTTATTTTTTTCACCCTTTTTTAAAAACAACAAATTGTAGTTTTTTAAACAAATTTTATAATCTGAAATTGAATAAACTTAATAAAATGTATTACTACGTATAGGTACCACATAATATTGAAGGAATTTAAATATTATAAGTTACTTATAACAATCAACGTCGTCAACATTTCATACAATTATTTTGCTTCTGCAGATTATAGAATAAAAATTTAAGTTTTCATTTAAAAATTAAAAGATTTTGTTGGTTTTATCAACATACCAGTTTCATAGTAAAAATAAATATCAAAGAAATGTGTTGCACTTGCAGAGCGACTGAGCATGTACMTACAGATACAATAGAGTGCAACACGTACTTAGGAAGTTTCGCAAAAATATGTTTGTTTTCTTCTATACATCTWTCATAATTATTTAAATTTAAAAACATGTATTCTACATACCTATCAAATATAACCTTGGACATTATTTTCATTGCAATTAATTGTTCCCGGTCGGAAATCGTCGACCGTTTGTAGGTAGAACACTGCGTAAAACATTATATTAAAATAATCTCAACAGATTTAAAAAAGAATTTAAAATTGAAATACTAAATTGGAGCCTATAGTCTATAGTGTTAAGTATTTTTTATGCACTCTGAAACAATCAATATCTCATGTTCGAAGAAGAGGAAACGACCAAAGTGTCCTGAGCCCAAAATATTAAGAAACGTAGATAGGTAGTCACTAGTCATTAATTCACTATACCATAATAACAGACCTACGGTTTTAGGAATATGAAATGTTAAAGTTACGTATGTTTTTTTACATTTTAAAAACAAAATATTTTTCGAATGAAATTAATATAGTTTTTGATATGRCTAAATGTATCGATTATCTGACTTCAGTGATGTTATGTAAAACTATTATTCCGCGCGTATTTACAAGATATCAAGAGTAAATCACTGATCAGTAATAATACGATCGTATCTCCMTATCTCTAGACATGTATTAATGTGCATATTATGTCATACATGATATTAAATGTTTCAAATAAATTTTATTATTTTAACATTCAGTATATTATGACCCTTGTTTGATAGGTAGTAGTTACGAGCTAGGGGATGGGTTGGAACAGACATACATGGAACACAAGCACTGTTCTAACCTGCAGATATTTATTATATTATTATATATATATATATATATTACATAAATCATAAACAAGTTTAAGGCTCCACTGACAGTTTATATTTTGCATGCTTCCTGCTATTATTTAGCCTGAATTATGTTGGTCTCTCCATTCCACCTGTTCGACTTACTTTATTTTTCCGTTCGCCAAAACGGCACCACTATTTTTTTCCGTCTATTTATGTACAACGATAGCATTTTATGTGTATTCGTGACTACCACCAAGGTTTTATGTTAATCGTAAACGTGAGTGAACGTCTTTTGTTTTATGGGTTCTGATTTGATTTTAAATTAAGTAAATACAATTATTTAATAGCTTTATCAACCAACCAATTTATTGAATTCTTAATGGTAACTGCACATACAAATATCACATTAAAAAAAGGATTCACTTCTATAGAAGTACCTACAATGAATTATATTACAKGTTCCAGTGATTATTTAAGCTCATTTTAAGTTCAATTTTTAGTTTTTCAGTCTATGCATAAGCTTATACATTTATCTACATATTTCGTTTTATATTATTTATTCATAATGGTCACACTTATTTTTCATTATTATCCTTTTTTTTTTAAAATAACTTTCTATAGTTTTAATTTCTTCATCTAAATTCGAATAATATCTCAAAAATATTGATGMTTAAATATTAAACTAATAGTTAGAAATAATAAGCTAATTGTTAAATATTTAAATAATTGTTTTAAATTTTATGATTACAATGACGATTTATTGGTGAAGTGGGGTATTTTCTACTTATATCACAACACATTTGATAATACCTATTATATTATTATGTAAACCTTAGTTTGTCATAGTTTAACGATCATGAAGTTATAGATACTAGGACGAACCTTAATCTAATCTAAGAATAAAAGTTATAAAACATGTTGTATTTACTCCGATACATTAAAAAAATTTAATGAAAAATCATTGATTTAATTTTGCATTAAATATAAAAGTAATTTCATTAGTTAAAAGTAAAATCTGATTTTCAAAGATAAAATTATTAATTTTTACAAATTGACCGATTTTAATCTAAAGACAATTTTATTATAATAATTTTCMAAGAAATTATATAGTTAGATTATGTTGTAGCATAAAATTAAAATTTTAATTACTACCCCTTAGCCCTTATGACCATATTTAAAAGAACGATGGACGAGTTAATTACTATAATTTTCCGTTTAAATTGTCAGAGGATAAGTGAGAGAGGACTAAGGGGGGATTGAAATTACGTGCTAGTGATAATTTCTTTCTATCATGCTCCGTCGATCATGTTGAAAACCACTTTGTTTCATTATAATTATTCGGTAATTATAGTAACCTATTAGGAAACTTAGTGACCTTTTTCACACGCCATTAGGAATATTAGGATACTTACGTATGTAATTTATTAAAACACATTTTTATTTATTTATTTGAATGTTTAATAACATTATTAAATAAATCTAAATTTATATTTTTAAATAGGTACCTATTATATTTACCTAATACCTATCTATATTAAATTAAATATAATTGATTATAAATATTTACATCATAAATTAAAATTTTAATACATTTCGACTTTTAACATTTATTTTAAAGTTCTTATTGACAATTTATTTCTGAGAGACATACTTTTAAATAAAATATAAATACCACATAATAGGTCGACAAATATATTAAATTCTATTAATGTGCAGTTGTG